ACACACACACACACACACACACACACACACACACAAAACCGTACGCAGACGCACACGCATGCTTAAAGAAGTGTTTACAAATACCACAAACATACGTAAACACATACGGCCAAAGAGACGCATTACACGTCAGTATAGCGCCCACTTAACAAATTTCGACGCATTATTGATGAACATATGAATATACAGTAATAATATAACGAAATATGTGACCTTATAGCAATGTTATCCTTTGCTAACTTATGAAAATTAATAAAAACTTATTTTGAAACGATAGAAATCGACGAAAAACTGCCATACTCATTAATTAACACACATTTAATTAAAAGCATTCATTTATATTTGTAATGAACTGAACAGACCACCGCACTGATTGGTGCAAATATAAAAATTGTTGACGAAATTTAAAACTGCCACAATAAGTGAAATTTCAATCCTCTCCTCTCTTCATTTTCTTCTCACTATGCCATTTCCATACTTTCACTAACTAAACTTCTCCACATTCAACTTTGAACAATATCATTTTCTTCAACCATCTAGCACCATTATACATCACAATCTCTCAAAATCTCGAACATTTCCGAATTTATCACACACTCCTTCTTTTTTTTTTCTCTGCATGCTATTCTGGTGACAATTAAAATTGGTGACAATGGAAAATGAATAAATTCAGAAATAAAATATTTATGAATGAGTCGAAAAAAATGTGCAGTTAAATGTTTCGTTGTTAATTGAAAGAAAAGAACACGAACTAATTTTTCTTCTCTCTCTCTCTCTCTCTTTTTTGTCTAATTTTTACGATGACTCATCGATAAGTGCACATTTTCCAGCAAGAAAAGATGAATTTCTTTTTTTTTCTTTTTTTTTTTAAAAAGGCAACACTATACTGAATTCAACCAAGCAGTTTCAAATTTAATTTTAAATAGTAATTAATAAAATCAGTGGCTTTTAATGGATGACGATAAAAGGGTATTGAGGATTGTAACAAATAAATTTTTCATTTCTGGTATTATTCCAAGCATTTCGATCATATCTATTTCTCTATTAAACTCATATTAAAAAATCATTAATTTAATTTTATTGAAATTTTTATAAAAGTTATCAATATTACTACTGCTATTGCTACTGCTTTTACTAACAGTATTATCATTAGTTGGTAAAGTATAAGATTAGCAGTTTAGCTATTGATGAATGATAAGAAACACATATAAATGATCATTTTAATTAATTAATGGATGTGAGTTAGGAGAGAAATGGGAAGACTATTTGTCTTCATTTGAGAAAACAAATGGATCAAACATAATGACTATTACTTTAAAAAAAAAACGCGACCTAAATTTTTATTAAGTTATCAATCTCAAGTTTTCACGCATTTATAAAAACGTTATTTGCAGTGAGTATTAACGTAATAAAAGTGAATTATTTCATGCTATTTATATAAATATTTCGTCAAATATGATAAATATGCAGTCATTAACGAAAATATAATTTAATTATTGTATACCTCATGCTATGGCTATCAATAACATGCGTGCATGCATACGTGAAAGCTATCAGAATATTTTTGCAATCACACGTCATCATTTCTCTGTTAAATTTTCATTCAATTATTGTTGTAATGATTGAATATGAATGTAAATTGATTCAATTTAACCTTTATATATGTATAAAATAATTTTTTACATAAAAATTTCCAGTTTGTTGATATAAATTTGCAAAATAAACGATAAATAAATCAATTCAATTTTATTACTCATCCTCTTCAAATTTCTTTTCCTTAATCATTTTGTCTGGTTTATTTGATTTCATTTTAAATTTCATGAAGAAAAAAAAAGAGCTAAACGAAAATTTCATACTGAAAAATATGCAAAAAAAAAAATGTCAACTTTTCATTTAAAAATTTCTATTCTTATTGATTACAAGAAATGAATTACAATAAATTTCTTAAATATCACTTTTTTGTGATCGTTTAAATCCTTTATCTATTATTCATTATTGCATTGTATGATGTGCATATATTGTATATAGTAATTGAAAATTCAACAAAATACTTGAAATTATTTGCAAAATTTTTATTCATCCAAATCATCTTGCCACTTTCGGCTATGCATTTCAGGTATTATGGATTTAAATTAAAATTTAAGACTGATTAAAATTCATTCATTATTTGTACAGTTTCAGTTACTTCCGTTTAAATTTATCAAAAAACAAATAGATAATTTGATTTATTCGTTGGGTTCCATATTTTTATCCATTTATTCTCATCTTCCTTTTGGCGTTTTTCCGAAATTTTTTTTGTTATACAAGAATTCAAAAATCAGTTTTATTTTAGGATAAATTACAGAAACGAAATTTTTTGCCTCACAAATATTGATCACTTTCAGGAAATGTTTTTTTTTTTGATGTTTTTGTTCTTCTCTAATTTTACAATTTAGTCAATCTCGCGATTAAAAAATAGCTTGTTGTGGTAACTATTCGCAGCGAATGCATTTTTTTTTTTGCTTAAACAAACCAACTGTTACTTTTTGCAGTTTTGTTTTATTTTTGTCTTTGTTTATTTTTTTCTCTTTTAGTATTTTATTATTAAATGTTTCATTTAATATCACGCAAATACATTCATTACATTTTTTTACAAAAAATATTTCAGGAATATTTTGACGACCAGCTATTTCATATACATCATGATAATACGCAGTTCAACATAACTCAATAATTTTGAACCTTTAAAATTTCGAGTAAATAATTAAGGAAAAAAAAGATTGTATTTTATAAAATTTTGTTTTCTTCCTTTCATATAATTTACATTATCACCTATAATGGTTAACATTATCAATGATATTCATCAAAATAAATAAGCAATTTAATAATTTTATTTTCAAATTATGCAACATTATTAAAATTGAACAATAAAATACAAAAACCAAAATTGAACAATAAAATATAATAAAAACAGCAAAGAAAAAAAAAAAACAAAAATCATTTTGTTAATTTAATTATTTCACGCTAAAATTTGATTATTTTATTCTGAAATTAATTCTAATTTTGTCATATAACTCAGCAATTATCCCACATATTTAATCTGGTTATTTAAATATTTTACCAAAATATTGATAAAATGTTTTTGAAATTATTATAATATTTCACTAAAACTATTTAATCCAATTTCAAATTTATTAAAATTTTTGAATGTTTCATTAAAATATGAAAAATATATATTAAAAGAGGAGAAAAAAAAAGAAAAATGAAAATGAAATATTAGATAAAATGGTATAGATTAGGCAGTAGTAGTAATATCATCGGCTTGCGTTATCAATGAGGTCATCAACCGGTTTCCACTGTTTACACTCAGTCCAATCATACAACCTAAAATCACCAATTTCTTTTCTTTTAACCTTCGATTATATCATATTGGCTTGAAAGCAAAGTAATATTTCAACAATAATTTCTTTTTTTTAAATTTTTTTTTATAAATATCAATTTAAATTCGTAAAATTGATTGTTTATTTGTTCATTTCGAAACGTTTCATACTATTTCGTTTTTTTTTTCCGCGTTTTCTCGAACAATTTTTTTTTAAAGCAATTGTACGCTTAAAACTGCTATCTTTTAAGAGTACATTTCTGTTTCAGTTATTTCAATGAAATTTTTATAATAATGGTATGTTAATTTTTCATTATTTTATTTTCACCTATCCTGTCTATAATAGTACATGTAGCACATCTTAATTATTATTATTTCAATAATTTTAACAATAATACGAATAATGCATGAATAATAATTATTATTTTTTAAAAAAAAAAAAAAACTTTTTTTCCTTTTTTAGATTGAAAAATGAGTAAGAATAGTATGAAAATAATTTACAACACTCTATAATTTTTAAAATGAAAAATTTTAGTGATTGTTAAACATAATGGTAAATTGTGGAGAATAAAATTATCACCATGTTGTTGCAGGAATCAGTACAGAAAAGAAATAAATATTTGCTACATAAGGAACTTACTCTTGGAACATTCTTTATCAATGTGATCATCGGAGTAGTTATTGGTATTTTTTGACATTCGAAATAGTTCGATAATTTATTTTTAGTATCACCAAAAAGATGATGACCAAAATCTTATGCTTGAAAAACGTGTCCAACATTTTCCTTTTTTTTTTCCATTGATAGATGAAAAAAAATTTTTTTACCGATTATACGATTAATCAAAATAAGCACAAAATAAATTTTTTAATGAATAAAATTGTTAATGATAATATTAGTGAAATATAAAATGAAATTCAACATACAGTTATACAGCTGTTAATGTTATTGTTCGAAAAAATAAAAATTTAAAAATAAGCTATTTGATCAATTTTTTTTTTTTTTTTTATTAATCATTCTAATTCCTGCAAACATTTTTGAATATGCATTAAAAAGTGAAGAAAGCAGTAAAAGTGAAGAAGGTAGTAAAGCAGTACAAGAATTTTATTAGGAAATAAAATAAGAAAATTTGAACTGTAATAATGATTACAGAAATTGAAATAAAAAAGAAAGCGAGGGTAATTTTGAAAATATTCAATACGAGAATAACAAAAATTTCAAATGCCCAATTTTGATTTAATTAAAATTTCATAGGTTTATCAATAGAGATTCTTCCAAATCATTATTTGGAACCGTATCACCGCGGATTCTATTGTAATGATCGGACCATACAATTACCATACAAATCCAGTACAATATCAACATCAATGCTTTTCGTAACTGTCTTCCTTCTTCCACTTATTGGAGTTCGTTTTTTTTTTTTTTTAATTTCAATTTTTAACTTATGCAATCTTTTTTTTTGCTCCATTTTTAAATTTTTCCCCAATAATATTTTTTTGTAAGTGAATGATTTATGTTAAATAAATTTGTTACCGTTTTTGCAACAATGTATTTATAAGTGGTAAATAGTATCGGAACAATTGGAATAATTCCTTAAAGTATAGTTTTAAGATTTCATAATTGAACAGATTTTTCATTTCATATTTTATTTTAACCTTAAATTTCTGCATTAATCTGTTTTCCTACCATTTATTTATTTTATTATCATTTTATCACTGCTTATCAGATTCAATTATTTTTTTAGCCAAAAAAAAAGGAAGATGTGGAATTATTTATTTTATAAACATTTTCAATTTCTTTTTTCTGATTAAAAAACTAACTGAAACCTGATAAGTGCTAATGATAAAAGATATTACCACTGATTGTGTTTTCTTTGTTGTACAGGAACCATTTCATCAGCGTGATGCAATCGCTTGCAAAATTTAGCCAGAAAAATTAGTGTAACAATATTTTATTGTGATCAAAAATTGGGTGAAAGATTAAGGGTAACAATTAATTAGAACGAGGAAGGAGGAAAAGCATTCCATTTAGCTAAGTGAAAATTATTTCATTACCATAAAAGCACAATTTAGCCAATCTTGCGATTAATGGCTAAATTGTGTTTTTATCGCAAGATTGTCTAAATTGTGTTTTTTTTTTAATATGAGTTTTTTCCTTTCCTGACAAAAATTGATTTAGAAACTGTGGAAGTGCATTGATTGGAGTGGGAAAAAAATGAGGAAAAGTGGGGAAAGTAAAAAATATTGCTATTATTTTTTTTTTTCATTCACTTTTTAGCTACGATTTTTTTTTTTTTTGTTAAAAATTGATTGAAACATGAGGAATTGCAGTTAAGGGTAGCAATTAATAATTTAAATGGAAAAAATAAAAAAGTAGTGGTGGAAGAATTATTGTGTATTCAATTCCATTTGATTATGCAGGAACCATTTCATCAACGTGTTGTAATTGAGAATTTTTTGGTTATTAGTATCATTGCAAATAAATGGCAATAATAATGCCAGTAATAACGGGAAGTTTTTAATGAATTTCAGATTGTAATCACGGAAATATGTCGTTCAAAATATTACAACGAATTATACAGTTGGCGAGGTTTCAATTTCAATCAAATATTAGTCAATTGCTTTAAATACTACGGTAAATATTTGTTACTTGTTCTTTCTTCTCATCTGCAATTTGTTATCCATATGGATCAATGAATAGGATTGAATATTTAACAAAATAATCGTTACCGAATTTTTTTCATGATTAGAACTTTCCTTTTTTCATTTATTTAATAGTTCATTTTTTGATTAAAATGCTTTCAGTTTGTATAAATTGGTAATGATGAATTATTGTTATAGCATATCATTCGCTTGGAATAGTCCTAGCACTTTTGCTAGTAATTCCAACAAAGTTTATTGTTGGTGAACTGAGGCCGATTTTCTTGGATATATGTAATCCATTATATGATAGTGGTTATTGTCATAATCAGACATATATTCTGAATTATAAATGTCGTGGCAATAAGTACAATCATACTGTTAAAGAAGCACGACTTTCATTTTTTAGTGGACATGCTTCATTAGCTATGACAGCGGCTACTTTTTTTATTGTAAGTTAAAAAGCGTAAGTTGTAATTTTAAATATTTATACTTTTGAATTTTTTTAATACTCCATATTTGATAATTACTGCGATTTATTTTTGATATGCTAAAGCAGAAATATCATTAATAATTTTAGATTTATGTGCAATCACGAATTCCACATAGAGGCTTGGCTATTATTGCAAAACCTCTGATACAACTATTTGCTCTTGGATTAGGATTTTATACTGGATATACTCGAGTCATTGATGGCATGCATCATTTGCATGATGTAGTCGTTGGATATATCGTTGGTATATTATTAGGCTACATCACGGTACATGTCACAAATATTTTAATAGATATATCTTTGTTTTACAAAAAAGAAGTGCAAGTAGTTCAATAAGAAAATATAGATAAAAATATATAATAATTTCAAAGAAAATTTATTAAAGAATAGGCAGTAATTCAAGACGAGAAGAAATAATAAACTTGAAAGAAAAAAATTTGATTATTTTAGGCTAAATATATAGCAGAATTAAGAATGAAATCTAATAAAATGCGACAAAATGAAATGGAATTGCAAAAAATTGAATTTCCTCAAACATCATCAGATGAGAATATACCAGTGTATAAAACAAGCGTTGTTCGAGTTGAACCAACCGAATTACGAATATTTGATTAATTGATCATTTGATTTAATAGTATTGTACAGATATAAACCTCTAATGCTTGAAGTAATTCTTTCTAATTCTCCTTTTTGTTATGGTCTTAACTAGTATTATTTTTGGGTGAATAAAAATTTTTCTCTTAATTTGAAGTATAAAAATGATTTGATTAAATATTGATTGATCGGAAAACACACGAACAAATAATATATTAATAGTTTTACCAGTAACCAATATATGATTAAGACATTTTAAATTATAAATTTGATTAAACAAAGTGAATAATAATTAATGATATGAGATATGTGTGTAATTAAGCTAACATTTTACATGACATGGACGAGATTCCTTTTCCGGTGCATTACATGGTGAATCTTCTTCATCATCAACATAACGATGTGGTCTGATAATACGTCGTCGACGAATTTGTTTCCCATCACCACATGTTACCGAACAAGGTGACCACATTGTCCACGGTTTGATATGACAGTTTTGAATTGCTGTAAATTACGACAATTTCAAACAAACTAAATGAATCAAAAAAAGAAATGGAAAGCAAAATCCAAAGATTTCGTAGCTGCTTGAAAAAAAAAAATCAAATAAGTGCAAAACTCACCACAAGGTCTCAATTCACAACGTAATTCTTGTACCATATGTTCGGGACATGAACGCCCACCATTACGTGGGAATATCTATAATGAAGATTCATGAATTAAATTAAATTACATTTTATCTCATTATTTTATATCCTTCTGCTTCTTTTTACATTTGTTAAGTAGTCAATAACTAAATGATTAGAGCTAATCTTCTCTGTGACAACAGTATTTTAATTGGTCATCCATCTCAGCTGGTCAGAAATGGACAACATTTCTATTTTAGTAGCAATAGAAGCACCAACTTCTATCTGTCGTGAACGTTTTCGTTTGCCTGAGCCACATGTAGCCGAACAATTTCCCCATGGTGTCCATTCCGAGATTACGCAATCAACTGGTGGACCGCCATCATTTACCTGATCAACACCAAATTCGTTGACTAACTGATGACCCGGTACTTAATATTATTAACATTAATTTCAATAAGTTACAAGTGTTGATGGATGCAATTGATACTTTTTCCTCGTTTTATATTCATTCATTTTAATTGATAAATGAATATTCTACATAATTCCCATTACGAAACGAAACAACTAAAACGCAAACGTGAATGAAATTCTTGGAAAAAAGTGGAATGATTTTGGCGTAAATCAGTTAAAACAACTAACCAACTTCTCCAACCGAACTCCCGTAATATTCCAAACACATTCGTTTACAATCATCCTCAGTTTCGAATTGATTCCGATTACCCTTGCAACCGGTATAGATAAATCGTTCACATCGTTTGAGCTTCGAATTATACCAGTAACGCGGAAATGTGCCAGCACATTGACCTTCTTGTTTATCCTCCATGCATATTTCTGGGTAGTCATTGATAATAAGGATCAAATATTTAATATTGTCAAATAATTGTTATGCATTATGATAATGGTTCATGCCATGATTTCTTACCACAACACAATTGGCTTCTTTTAAGCACGTTCTTTCCAACAATAAAAATTGTTAAAAATTTTTAATCCATATTTTAATCAGAGAATTAAATAATCTTTTGCGACCACTAAAAGCAAAAAAAAAAATCAGGAAAAGAACTGAAAAAGCACATATCACCGTAACTTTGGTAGTAAAAATATTTATCAATTAAAGTAACAGAAAATTTTGTTAGAATAAAATTTAAAATTCTAAAAAAAATGAAGAAACCTTTTGAATGCACGCTTAATAGTCGTCGACAAGTTTGTAATTGACAGTTCTCTTTTTCCAGTAAATTAACATTGGCACAGCGTTCTTCATGCTCAGCGTAAAAGAGGAGCCGTGTTCGGACATGAATTCCGTGATCACATGATGCACTGCATGGCGACCACTCACTCCATGATGTTGCTCGGCAAAGTGGATCCGGTGTAACTGAGCAATCATCGCCGTTATCACCTGAAACAAGAGACACTTTCTTCCCATCAATCGGAATCACTATCATTATTAACTAAAAACACGTTATTGAAACTGTTCCAACTAGTTAAATACTGAACATTAATCCGTATAAGTGTATGACAATTGCTTTCGAAATGTTCTGAAAAAGATTCAGTTATTTTATCTGTCATTGTAGAGAGTAATATTTTATTTTGAATATTTATTTTAGAAATAAATCAATACGTGCTTCCTAATAGAATTACTTGAAATTTCTACATATCTGAGTGTATTCTAAATTTCAAGAACCCTACAATAACACACTTTGAATTATGGTTTGAAATCAAGAAATCAAACACAAATAATGTCGCAAAAAAGAATAAAACTCGAGGTCATATTGAATTTCAGAAGCCACATGAAGTAATCGTAAGTCATATTTCTTTTCACAAACGTTGAGTCGATGTACAAGAAAAAAATCATCTAGTTCTGTTTTACATTTTTCTCAAAAAAAAGTTCCACGAAATACTTCTTGTCCAAGGACAAGAAGACAAAGAAGAAATATGTGAAAGAAACATAATAACTAACCAGTACAGATGTCTTTACGGACAAGATCAACATTCGGACAAGTATTGTTATTAGAATCAAGTTCCTTAAAAATTCTCGATCTCGACCTTGTTCCATGACCACATGTTACACTGCATTCTGTCCAAGATGACCAACTGCTAACAGAACATTTCGAATTAAATGCATCCGAATCTGAATCAGCACGTAATTTATGATAGCTAAATAATATTAGCAGAACGTGATGCAACACGAAACATGGAGAATGACGGAGTGGAAAATTTAATAATTTCAAACATAATCTTTTATTTACAACAAAAAAGTTAAAAATTTACAAACCATGACATTCGCTAATTTCTGCATTGCAAAACTGCCTTTCGATAGTTTGGCGATGGCATCGAAACATCTGAGCTTTTATTGGAAATACGTAAACACGGGAACGCATTCGAATGCCTTTGCCACATGTAGCGGAACACAGTGACCAGGGCTCCCAATTTGTTACCATACATTCTCCTGAAAAAGTAATCGATTAATAAATTAATTTGTTTCTCTCTTTTATAAAGTTCCTAATTTTTATGCGGTTGCATTGTTGCATTTCTTACCTAACAGCTAATAATGATACATTAAGCATTCAACCTTTAATCTTCACTTTCAAAAAATACAATCTTATTTGCCTGTGAAGAGATAACCAGTCTTTAAAAAATGTGAATTGGAAATATTTTTCAAAGAAATTAATTAAACATCCTTATAGCTAATTAAAAATGTATAGCAAATTACTAACGACGATCTTTGTATTCTTCGTCTTCGCTAGTACTTGTTACATTGTAAGCCTCAGTTTGATATTCGTCTACCGTTTTGCATACCGATTTCATTACCTCCTTGCGGGTTAACTTTAATCGAGCTAACGGTGCAATGATATCACTATTCGGATTGTAAAATGGTGATCGTTTATCGAGTTTCGTTGTTATCGGATGAATTGGTATACGGGGCTCTGCCGGATTGTTCGGTGACTGAAATTGACATTTTATATTTATTACATGATACTTTTAAAACAACTTATTCAAAATTTTCAGCAAAACTTGAACTTCTAAATCGTACGACTCGAAGCGTGTAACCCAAATTCAAAGAAAAAATCTGACTTTTTAACTTTTTATCTAAATTTATTTCTTAATTTTTTTTTTAAATTCTTAGTTTTCCAGCATAAACAGTTTAAACGAAGCATATTAATTGGAACAAATAAATAAAATGAAATGTAGGTCCAATACTTCAAATCCCTTCCTCGGGTTTGTATTGTGTTATGTTTTGAAAGAAAAGGAATAAATTAATGAATAATGAAACTAAAGCTATACCATATAAGTTGGCCCATTGTCAGTTCCAGCATCAAAAGGTAATAATTCAAATGTTCGTTCCGGTATCCAAGTACAGTCAGGTAAGCATAAATTGACGGATGATATTCCTACACACCAATCCGGCGATGGTCCAAACATTGCGGCTAAGGAAGCAAGATGATGGTACCTGATAATTGAAATATATATATATATATATATATATATGTAATAAAATGAGTTAAACAGTTCAATTCATTATTCTTTCCCTCTTTTATAATAATTCGACAATATTTTTTCCCAAATCTTTAGTAAAAATTCATTAGGGTATTTGATTTCTTTCTTTCATCCTTCACTTATATATTATAACGAATTCCTAATATGACATATATTTACTTATTCACAACAAATGAGCTAGTTGTTCTTCCTTGCACTTCCGGATACCATAATCCTTTGATTTTCATTAAAGTACGAATCTCTTTTGCCTACAAATATATTCCTAAAATTTTTAAACATTTTATAAATGCGATAGTTATATACAAATAAACAAATTAATTAATTAACATTTGACAAATGTAATCTAAATAAAAGCCAATACTGAGTTCCATATAGTTTTAATATTAAGATGGAAACATTAAAACAACATTCGAACAAAAAAAAAGCAATTTCGAATTTGTTACATCAGATATGTAAAGTATATGGCAATGAATAATGATCAGATTAAATAAAAATTATTAAAATAAATAGAAAAGAAATTTGAAATATACATTTGCTTTCATTTCTTGTTCTCCTTTGTAAGTATTGCCCCATTCAGCAATTTCTTTCATACCATCCGTTGCAATCATACCAAATTTCCACATTGTATAATTGCTACTGTGACTAGCGCCAAGCATATCCGTGAAATGTGTCAAATGTTCTACTGTATAATACACCGTAATAATACCGGTAATGATATAATCCCACAGTGAATTTCTTTTTTTTAATTTAAGAATTTTCTAATAAAATATGATGTGCAAGTTCAGATTAATAAAAAAATGAGGAACAGAGGAACAATTGAAAAAATTATTATACTGCATACAATTTATTAATCAAATTCTGTTTATAACTGCTAAAGCATTAATATGTTCCAATTGATTTTCAATTTTTAAGAAAGAATTAAAATTATTTATTAATTTATAGCGTATCAAAATACATTACTTTGTGATGTTTTTTAAAGAGAAAAATAAAAAACAAAAGCATACAAGATGGATAATCTTTAGGATGTGTATCCCTTGACCATAAACCAATAAATTCTAAATCATACTTCGCTTCATCACAGGCACAACAATCCAAGTTATCCTCATCAATTGTTAACATCTTTTTGTAACCTTCTGAATTTTGAAAATAAATTAATCAAATTTAATGGTGAACAATCTCACTTATTTAATTTGTTAGTCATAATTATACTACATTTATTATACAGCAAAAATAAAATAACTTTTAATGATCCATGTTCCTTATTACGCTATCAATCAGATCATGGGAATTCAAATTATTTCGAATTTTTAATGATACAAGACTATTGGATAAAGATTGCAAACCTCTGACACAAAATTTCTTTGTTAACGGTCCATCATCACCATACCATATTTTTCGAGATGTAATTACGGAAGCACGAAAATACGCACACCCTTTTTCCGATGTTTCCGGTGCATGCCATAACACGTGGACAGATGTTTTTGGTCTCAAATTTGAATGTGACACACCGGCTTTACGACAATTTGGTGCAATGCGAGCTTCTCCTTTTTTTCCTTGAAGCTGTAAAACAATCGTATTTTCATTGTTCATCTATGCTTCAATTATAAAATCAAATAAATGACAATATGAATGCAATTACGTTAAACAAAGATTACATCAAATTTTCCTGCATGTTCACCGTTTTCAAATTGTGCATAAATACCAAATCCACGGAAAGCTTGCACGGTAAACTTTGTGCGCCATCCTCGAAGTTTGACTGCAATTGTTTATCTTATAGCTGATGAAAACCTTCTGGAATAATGGAACTGATAATTTAACGCTTAAATTTAAATTACTAAAGATATAGTACCAGATACAGTTTTTGTTACAATACCAGTTTACTCATGGATAACTTATTTTTTGTTCGAATAATAGCTGAGAAATCAATTGGCATACCTGGTATTTTGTAAACACGATATATTCATACTTGATTTCTTATTTACTTGGTAAATTGCTCAATGCTTAGAAATATCTTAAAATACTTGGAACTTACCGATATAACTATCGCCCGGTGCATAACCTTCAGGATTATTATCGGATGTATTTGTGGCGCTTGATATTTCAATCATAAAACCACTATTGCCCGGTGTTTTCTCTTCTTTTGCTTCGTATAACTTCCTCCGACAGTTATTGCTCATAGTGGATGAAACCAGCAATAAACAATAAAATAGCCACCGCATTGTTTCTTATCTGTAAACAATTCAATATATCGAAGTAAATCACAAATAAATATCTCTAAGATAACCTATCTTACATTATAATTACCTGCATGTTTTCTTCTCCATTTAAAAATAGTCGGACAATCCTGATCACAGAGCATACCGAACACAATTTTACTACATCAACCTACCTGTTAAAATTAACCGGATATAAAATGTGGAAATATATCAGAGTGAAGTTACCACTGAAGCAGCAGTTGTTTGATAAGAATAAATACAGGAAGGGTAGAAGATAGTGAATGAAGCTGATCGTGTGGTGGTTGGTGTGGAGCAGACAAAGCTCCAGCTAACATTCCAATCTCTTTCTCCTCAAACTCATTTATCTTCATTATTTCCGCCCTTCTTGTACTCATTCCACTTTTCCAGCACTTACCACAATTGATAAATATCTATCCAATTATTTTACATTCATCTGCATTCTCATTTATCACACATAAAAGCACAATAAGAATATTTTACACATGTATTACACTACTACTGTTTACAGTTTATGCTTATTATATTAAAACATGAATAAATTTGATCCATCATCTTTTCGTTCTTATATGAATAATATAAATCGTATCTAATATATTATTCATCCTACACTTCAAATTTTTCTAATATTACTGCTATGAAATTTAATCGGTTTTTTCATGCTTACGAAAATGCACATTAACTATCGTATATAAATTTATTAATAAATAATTAAGTCGGGAAAACTATGACATTCGTATTTAACTACACATATAGAACTTACAAATATACCGGGTAATATTAATGAATAATATTGGATTATTCCTGATTTATTTTTTATATCTAAACTTTGTCGGATTAGCCATTTTTGCACAAAAGAATACTGAAAATCTGTATGAATGAATAACAATAAGTCAATAGTATTTCATCCGAAATTAGCTGAAATTTATTGTCTAGTATGCTAGAAAACGATATCTACATTAAACTAAACATTCCGGACCACTTAAACTTGAGACATGAAACATTCCGGATTTCTCATTCCTGACTTCGAACTACTTACCCTGATATTTGAGACATTCCGGCTTGTAAATATTCTTGATGTTCGAGACATTCCGGATTCCAGTATCAGTGGAATTATTAATAGTTATTCATGATTCCATGCAAAACATCTTCCAATAACACAATCTCAGTTAAAAACCGGATCCGGAAATCAAGCTATTATTGGTATCGGAATCATTCCGGATTATCCATGAAATATTCCGCTTCATTCCTCCAAATTCCGGATCTGCCATTTCCATCAAAAAACAGTGCCAAAATAGAGTTTGCATGAAAAACCATCAAAGAGCGATTCGAATTTTCTGGATATCCTGAACACTTTATCCATTTTTGGAATGGCCTTTTTGTTGCTTACGGTAGAGACTTTTTAGGTAAAAGTTATAATCACAGTTTCGTTATTGTTTCATTGTGTGCTCATTGTCAGCGGTTGTTTTTGGTTGGAGTGATTGTGGTTTAAGGTAAGTTCACGTACGTGTTTTCTATGTTTTATTAGTATGTGAAGAAGTTTATATGTGTCAAATGTAAGGGATATGTATATGTATGCATGTATACAAGGTTCTGACACGTATCATATAAGATACATCCATATCTGTGTCTTGTATAGAGCACATGTTTAGAGAGGAGTAATTACGTGTTAACATCTTCAGGATGTATGACAATGAATGTGTGTGTGT